ATCCCAGTATATTTATTTGCAGGTCTGGTTTACTGTAACATTGTTGATGCTGCTTCAGCGTAAAAAAAAACTCAGGCGAAACTGATATTAGGTGTGTTTGTAAATGATCACAAAAGCGTACCATTTTAACTACAGCGGTGTCATGGTGCATGTGGTGGCTTTACTGTGCTGTACATTTTTGTGCTCAATTCATTTTTGATTACACTAGCAAGAAAATGTTAAAGTGCTATGTATGCATACTGATTTACACATTTCCCTTTCTGTGTAACAGACGGATACGCTGACAACCTGGTGAAGACAATACGGTGTCATGCAGTTAGGCAACTGAATCTGTCAAAAGTCAGTCTGTCAATCATGCGATGTATATTTTAGCAAAAGTATTGCTTGAGAAAATTTGCTCTGTTCAATGGAATCAATTACCAATCAACATTATTTCAGTAAAACAAGAGAATAATTATCAAAAGGGCACCCTGATGATTTTTTTAGTTTAAAAAAAGTTGACTTGTCAAGAGGCATATATTCAGTCTGTGACTAGTTGTGTACTGTGGTGCTTTTTAAAATCACCCATACAAGTGACCAAACGGCTGGATATTTCAGCTTCTATTTTTGACCATCCCTTTGTTTTTAATGGGTCTCTTGTGAATCCCCCAACTCGATGGAAGTGCTACACTAAAACATTAGAGTACACCTTTAATATCCATGAAGTTCAGCTAATACATTCAATGAACGAGCAGTACATGTGTTACCCCTTAGTCTGCTGTAACTGAGCTCAAGTCAAAATCAGTGTTAGGAATTTGAGGACTCAGTCTATCTAACCGAGAAATCTACTTAGAAGCTTTTATATTTAATAAAGTCCTCTCACGGCAGATGGTTCCTGTCAGCTTGCTATGTGAAGCAGGAAGCCAGTGCAAAGAAGATTAAAGCCTGAAAAAGATCTCCAAGGTTCAAAGAAAACACGGATCACTGCAAAGATGAAGTCGTTGAGGGGAAAGAAAAAGCAAACCGAGGCACATCCCTCAATGTTGGTAGAGCAGGGATGTTTCTCTATAATTCGCAGTGACCCAGTGATGGACATCTCTGAGCCTCTCCGAGCTGGCAAGAGCTCCCAACTGCCATGTAGCTGTAATTGCCTTTTGATCGGAGTAATGGCTGTCTCAGCTACATTTACTTTTCATTATGATGATGTATTCATCACATCCCCTTTTGTTGACCTTATCAATCAGAGTTTAATTTCCTACAAATTTATTTTTAATTACAACTGTTTTTCTTTCTCCCCTGTCCCCCGGGGGCCTGTTCAGATTGCAGTACCTGCCTGTTAAGAGGTGGCATCTGCCAGCACATTTACAGTGGCACACCGTCACCTGGTCAGAGATTAATCAGCCGTTAGAGCGCCTCTGCCATGCTCAAAACCTCAAGTCAAATCCAAGACTCCTGGTTTAATTGGCAGCGAAATGGCGGAGGGAGACAGTCTTGCTGACCGGCAGCCAACAGTAAAGGGCAGCTGAGCTCCAGCATTCACCTTTCAACTGTCATACCAGCTGAATATATTAGCCTGTTCAGGTTGGGAAACTGTATCTGTCAACCTCTGTAATTAAATTGATTTGAAGATCAAAAATCATTCAGTGACCTTTAACTCGACTCATTTATGAAAAGACAAAATTAAAAGAGTGGTTATTAGTGAGTGCAATTTACTAGTTTAGTTGCTGCATATCTAATATTCCAGAATCTGACAATACAGAATAGCTGAAGGCAGTGCAAGGTGGAATTGCAGTTGCTTTAACTGAAAGAAATAAAGTATAAGAATGTTGTCTAGTCCACCTTGAAGTCAGTTAACAGAATTTACCCCACTGCCTTTTCCCTGTGTGACACAGTGGAAAGGTCACAATGTTTGATTCCCAGTTCTGGTCTAAATAAGTAAACCCAACAATCTCCATGAGCGATTTCCTCTGCTTGCTAACACATGAATCAAAAAATAGCGTTTGATTCTTGGCTAGTCATGTTCAGCCAAACAAGCACAAGGTTTAATAAGATGCTGGCAAATCGACCTCCTTCCATTAACAAAGAGAGGTTATCACAAGCCATTACTGTTTGTTTGTAGTAGCCAATGAGCGTGTTTAGTTTTAAAAATTGGGGTCACTTGGAGTGCACCTCTGGCATTTTTCCAGGTGTGTATATGTGTGTGATGATTTTTTTTTAAGTACACATCCTATTAGAGGCTGTCTGAAGCCTGAAGGCTGAGTCGTAGATGAACACTGCACAGTTCAATCCAAGTGTCAAAAGGACAAATCTTTTCAGTGGTGTGTGTTGTTACTACATAAAGGTTTGAAGACTTTTAGTGAAAAGAGCAAATCTGAAAATTACCTCTGCCTACGGAGTGAAATGATGCAGACAAATTTGGATGTCCTGGGTGTTATGTGCCCTTCACATCGGTTAGAGGATTAACTTTGTTTAGTTTTGTTTCAAGTTGCTGTGTAGGAGTTTGTAGCTAATCACTTAGTGTCAAGGCATTAGCGCTCGCCAGGTTCAGGTCACCTGGGAATCTCTGGAGCTGATGGCCTTGCTCATTCATTTCTCCACCCCTCTTCTACATCTGATAGCCTGCATTATTTGCAAGATGAGAGGAGCATATCCATCCGCCTTGTGATAATCACTCAGGGGCATGCCTCAAGCTGTCAATACAAAAACATGGTTCTATTAAGATGGCATCGGTATTGTATTGCTCACCGGTGACTGGATGTACTGCATCTGTGGATCATGGGTGGAGCTGTGATGACATGAAACCCCGTCGAGATACTGCAACGATTACAGGAGGCGAACGCTCCTTTAATGTCCTCATCACTCCTAATGAAAAACCATTTGATCCCACACACACGGAGACCAGCGAGGCTTTGAGATGTCATTAACTCGCAACGGCATCGCAGCCAGGCCCCACTGGCGCATGGACAAGAGCACTCGATCTTGTGTACTGGTGATGATCACTTGTCTGCCTCTATCATTCTATGTGCTGTGTATCTTGTGATGAGAGAGAGCCTCAAGTTTTTAATGCTCTCTGGGCATTGTGGCTAGATCACTTTGTGCTCTCATAATAGAAAATTTGGTATTGCTGATAAGAGAACATTCAGGTGGCTAAGGAGTCGCCGTGAGCAGCACACACCAGAGGATCAGGGATTTAAAGGTCATATGGTACCTAAGCTGTGAGGTGACTCGATGTGAAGTTAGGGACAAGTCCCTTCAATTCTCCAGACTCCTCATTAGCTGTCACGCATTGGTGTTTTACCCTGTTTTACACATTTATTAAAGTTGTGAGCTTGTACCAAATCGGAGCAGGAGATTATCTTTATTATTTGCTTTCAAATTTCTTGCTTCCTGTCTTTTTTCTTTATGATACCACACCCCCAGTGCTCTGGCTGAAGGATTAGGTTTTGTAGAAATACTTTTATTTTGTTCCAGATGTAGATCTCAGATAGATATTGGTGTGCTAATTGTTCTCTCTGTCTGTAGGCTATCGGAGTATGTTCCACAAAATACTCCCCAGAGATCCTTTTTTGACAGGTTTGTTTTAGCTATAGCTTTTGCAGGGATGACCTTGTTTTCCAGGAAATTTCTGTACAGCAGCTTCAGCAAGCCATTCATACTCAAAATGACATGGGTTGGCATTTAAACCTGAAATCATGAATCATTTTACTGCTCACTGTTTTAGAAAACTCATCCATATTTATACTATCTTAATAGACTGTGTTCCCATCTCTTTGCCCCAAATGATCTCCTCTGACTGTATCAGGGCCATTAGCCATGTTTTCCTGGCTGACAGTCATGAATATGAATATTTCCCTGTAGTGTTAGCATGTTTTCCCCAGGTCTTACTAACTTGTTGCTACGCAGAGTCCTCAAAAATATAATAAAAAAAACTGTCAAGTTAGGTGCATTATCCTACTCACAGTATCTTTACATGCATTTTATATGGTTACAATACATTGCTTTTGTTAAATCTAAGACAAGGGAAACCTTAAAAGGTCAGCACACATGTATTTTAGAACAGTGGTTCCCACCTTTTTCTAACAGACTCCCATCGCTATTAAATGAAAACAATCTTCACTGTCAGCACCACTCGTTATTACCACGAAGGAGGTTATGCTTTTATTGGTGTTTGTTAGTTTGTTCATAACTCAGAGTAATGAATGGATTCTGAAAATAGATAAAGCAAATTTTTTAAAAAACTATTTTGGAGAGGTAGGCTGAATGAATGTCACTTTCATTTTTTTCCCATTTGTCACACGGACAATTCGCATGTTGACATTTGGCATGTGTTTTATGCCGGATGCCTTTTCTGACGCAACCCTGACTCGAACCCTGGCCACAGCCCTAACCACTAGTCTATCAGGAAACCCCTAGGGTGAAACAATCCAAAAGATTTTGGTGGTGACCTGGGTCATCATTTTGATCCATGCATTTTTAATGGCATTATGGAGAAATTGCAAAAAAAAAAAGATGGTGCTACAGTATTTGAATGGTTATTTTTTTAATATACACAAATATGTAAATATATTTAAATGCAATTTCAATCAAATCAGCTGTTACACAGTCATGGTCCTTAATCAAGCCCTCAGCTTGCGAACTTTGTTTTGACTTGGCCTTGGATACAGTTTTCTGCTGGCAGTGCAGTGGTGGTCATTGATTAAGCATAGCACCGTGGCTTGAAACCTGTAGGGAATGTTTGAAAGAAGAATAGAACAAAGGAGAGAAAAGGGATAGAGGGAGAGAGACGCAAAATGAGATTGTTTTATAAAGACTAAGGCTAGAGGAGCTTTGCCAGAAACAGAATAAAATATGTATATGTCTGCTGTATTTCTCTGTGCACACATGTCAACAGTAAATCATTTACCTGTGGATAGTTTTTCAGATTAAAGTTGTATATTTCAGCATGTTAAGATTGACAGTTCTGTTGTACATTGCAGCAGAAGTACTGTATTTCTCTGACACATTGCTTTTGGTTTCCACAGTGAATAAACACAAGCCATGGATTGAGACGTCGTACCATGGGGTGATTACTGAAAACACTGACATCGTTCTGCTAGATCCTCCTCTGGTGGCCCTGGACAAAGATGCTCCTATCCCCTACGCAGGTATAGTAACTGTCAACCTTAATAGCTGTCAAGTGGAGAATGATCATAACAGAGGTAAAGGCAGGCTAACTCAGATTAAATGACAGCAGTCAACAATGACTCAGGTGTTAATCCACACAGGGAAGCATAGCTGTAGGATATACTTTCACTAGGGCTATAAATCACATAAAGCTGTCATGTGATATCACTGTGAAGGGGCTTAAATGGGCTTCGTGTACTATAACTGCTGCATCGTAGCTTTTTGTCTTAGTGTTAACCTGGCTCTGAGCTGCAACCATTTAATCCACTAATTCCCACTGAGCACACATCACATACAGAACTCATATTTCAAATTTATTTAGACCGGAAACTGGCCCAAATGAGCCCCATGGTGTCTGAGGACACTGCAACAACTAAACAAATAACAGAAACCAGATTAGATTCTTCCCACTTTGTGACCATTCCAGCTCATCTAAAATGTGCCAGTTCTTGTGGGATGACTTTAGCTGGATGCTTTTGGTGAGCACAGCCAACCTATCTCCCACCAGGCTGTTAATGTGGCCAAGGCTTTAGCATGGGGCTGCAACATGGGACTGGAGCCCACTCACAGGGACCCTCAGGCTGGGCTGCATGGATGGAGATAGAGAGAGATTGTGTGTGTGTTTGTAGAAGTGTGCATGTGTGCTTACCAAAACTTTTTTCTTTTTTACTGTACTGTGCATGTGCATGTGTGTGTGTGTGTGTGTGTGTGCGCGAGTGCTATGGCATGGCCTTAGGGGGCTCACTGTAATGGCTACCCTACAGGGAAAGGAGAGAGAATGATGAGACAGTATGGAGGGTAGCTGGTTGACCAGTGTATGTCCTCTGGCTCCTGATAGACTGACAGCCACACATTGGAAAAAGTACACACACAGCCATGCACACAGCTGGCAGACCACGTATCCCTGGATTTCTTACGTTAGGGTGCAGGAAGTGAGTCCTCTATAAATTATTAATAAACAAAAACAATAACCTCACAGCTCTGTTTTGCAGTCTCCATCTCTTTCTCCTGTTATCTCTATCAGTTCTCATTTCTCCACTGCCTTGCTCACGTCTCTCCCTGTGTACCTTTGAGCTACCCCACCAAACGTTTACACACCACACCAGTCACTCTCCTTTCTCTGGCTCTTAAAGCAGTGGTGTCCAACCAGGCAGCGACAGTTATCTAGTAATTAGCTGTAGAGAATCAAGCCTTCTTCCACTTAATTGCTGGGGTGGAGTGGCAGGGCAGTGCACAGGTAGCGATTACACCTCATCAAGTAGGTCAGCCAGGTTTTAATTACAGCACATCTAAG